GGGGGGGGGGGGAAGAGAGAACGTCTCGCGGGAGTTGAATGGAGCGTTCGCCGGACACGTTTCGCGTGAGAATGGGAATCCGTTTTCGATCGCACAACAATCCGATGAGTTCGTCGGGGCATTGAAAGAGAGAAAGAAAGAAAGAGAAAAAAAAAAGAGAGACACCCAGCGACCTTCGCACGAGACTGAACTGGCGATCGCCAGCGCAAGGAAGGAGGTGTACGACGCAATATACCGTCGGCGTGGGCGACGAGGACGCTCTCGAACGGTGCAGAAGCCGGTTGATGTACTCCATGCCGAGGTAGCGGATGAAGAAGCCCACGAGACGTTGACATTCACTGCTCTCGCGGGGACACCTCGCGCGCGCGCGCGATCACGTCGCCTGAGATCAGCTGACTGACAGCGCGGGTCCGGCGGTTTTCGAGAAAGAAATTGCGCAACCACCTCTCGCGCTCGGGCTAATTATAAGACGCCGATAGAGACGGAGAGCGGGAGAATGTGGAAGAGAGAAAGGTTCCAACCGGCGCGAGTGTGCCGCTCGTTTCCGCGAGACGACGGCGAGAGAAGGTGTCCTTCTGGAGAACACACATCGAGGCTGGCCAGCGGCGGCGGGAACAAGAGACGCTGGAAATCTTCTAGACGTCTTTGGGCAGCAGTGCGCTCAGTGTAACGGGACCGGCGGCGAGCTTCGGGGATCCATCCGAGATTGAGCGCGCGATAAGCGTGCCGAGGAGTGATCGCGGAATTAAAAGGTCACCGGAATCCTCGGCCGGAAAGGACCGGAATAAACAACGTTCGATTCGACCGCTCGTTGCGGTCCGCGCGACTATTTATAATTGACGACTAGCGAAGCGCGCGGGACTTGTAAGCGAAACGTTCGGTTCCTGCGACTCTGAGTAAGAATGAAAATTCGTCGATGAGAAACGGAAATTCGATGACCAGAAGTGACTTCTCCGTTGCGGTGACTGAGAACATTTCGCGTAAACATTTAGCCGCATTAAGACCGATATTCGCAGACTGGTACTCGGATTTTATATTCAAGACGGAAGATGAACGTAAAAACATAAAAACATCTTATATGTAAGATCCGACTATGAATATTGGTGGTTATATAGTCAGATCTTATATTTAAGATCGTCGTAAATTCATCCTCAGATGCTTCGTAATCAATAAAATGAGCCGTGCTGCGTTTGAAGATGAACTTTCGACGATTTTAAATACAAGTTCCGTCTGTGAATATTGTAGTGAGTATTATAGTTTTAAAGGCTCGGAGAAAACTCCAGTTTTTACAATTTTTCATTTTTGGAATTTTTCGGTTTCTTTCAACGGAAAAAATGAAAAGAAACGAAGTTTTGCTAGCTATAATGAATGCCAACCTAAAACTCGGTTGAGACGACAGAGAGCGATCCTGCAAAATTCCTTCTGCTTCTACCGCGTGTTCATCTGATCTCCACCCAGCCAAAAGAAAATTCAGTTACACTAACGGAATAGTTTCCTCCGTATACGAGTTCCGAACGCTTTGAACTTTTTTTTTCGCGCATTTCGAAACACAAACAATGGTGCAACGAGAGACCCCGTTTTCGAGAAATGATTGGTTGCGTCTAAACTGCGTTGAAGAAAAAAGTAAACAAGCCGTTTTGAAACTCACGCGATATCCAACGTCGCCGACAACGCACGAATTGCACACAAAAAAATACATACTACATTCAAATAAATGTTATATTATTTCAAATATTTCGTAAGTTTATATATCCGCAAATATATCATAAGTTCGTCATAAGCATCAAATTTATTGAAAATATTTTCAGAATCCTAGTAAGTTTAGTACTTCAATTGATCGAAATGAACTTTTCTTCGATAAAGTTTATAATATTGTTGACAAAAAGAACAAATTCCTCTTTTGAATAAATAATACGATGAATTTCTTCAATATTTGTGATGTGAATATATTTAAGAACATCGTCAAAAAAATATTCCTTGTTCATTACTTCTGAGAGAAGAAAAATAAGCCGAGTAATTGCTTTTCTTTGCAAGTACAGGTGATAAGTTTTCTCTGTGTGCGCACGTTGGTTAAGTCAACACGATAAACCAACATTATGCAACTATAACGACGGCAGGAAGGAAAGAAGGACGGCCGAGAGACGTCCTTACTGCACGAGGAGCTCCCGATGAAGCGATCTTATCTCGGACGCGATAATTGACTGACAACCGAGTATTTGCGCTGCCGCTTGCAAGACGGCTGCGCTCGCGTGAGAGACCCGGTTGCAGGAGAATAATTAATGAAACGATAATTAGACGGCTCTTTCTCGTTATCGCCGGCCGAGTTACCTTCGGCAGAAGATTCCCCATGACCCTCGAGGGACCTCCGCTTTCGGCTGTCGCCGACGCGCAACGTGCTCTCATATTTACACGCCGGGTTCACGGAACCCCACGACGAGTGACGGTCTTCCCCTTCTACGTTTTTACCCTTGACACGGATTGTCCTCCGCCGTGGAGGCACTCGGCGCCGAGATCTTTAAATCCGACGCTGACAACGTAACACACCCTCACGGAACGTGCCGGCGCTACGTGACGCGGATTCCTCGCTCTCATTTTCTCCGATCGCGAGAGCGAGCAAACGGACATCATTTTCGACAGCTTGACTTTCTCTCTTTCCGGCCGAGCACCGAGAAACCATGACTCATTGCATTCGTCAACGTAACGTCTAACGTAACGCGCTGCTGCGATCGTCGTGCTCGAGAGCATCTAATCCTTTTTCCAAGTGTTGTTTCACCCGAAGGAGGGCGGAAAAACCGATCGCGCCGCGCCAAGTGTTAAGGCGTGAATCTTTTTCCTTCTCCTTTTTTTCTCCTCAAAAGGTCAGGGGTCAACGAACGAGAGACAATGCGCCGGGGTAGACGTGCGGACGGACGGCAATCGAGCCTAATTCACGGAGAAACGCGCGTCTCTCGCGCTCCTTATTCGGCGCGCTCTTGACACATCATCGGGACTGCGACCACCGCAATGACTCATTCTCCTTTGACAGAGGAAAAGAGCGAGAGGACTATCTCTCGGGGTGTGTCTCTCATCCCTCTTCTGAGATAGGCTTCTCTCTCTCTCTCTTTTTCTCGAAAATCTCCTGCTCTTAAAGCGTGCCACTTAACGCTTAGATGCAAGTGATGATGGTTTTCAGCTACATTAGACGGCGCATGCTATTGGCCTGCAGTACCTTCGTAAGTAGGTGCGCACTATTCTTATCGCGGCAATGTTGCGTCATTATATCGGGGATCGGATATTGACCCTTGCGAGGAAAAAAATATATTGATCGGTAGGCTTATATATATAGAGAGAGAGAGAGAAATTTATCAGATAAAATTGAGACATAATTATGACAGAAAAGGCAATTCATCGTTGATAAGAAATCGAGCGGTGCAACGGCACGAGCGCATGAATACGCATGATCTGTAACATGGATCCTTTTGCAAATCTAGTTAAATGGCACGCTTGACTACATGTATGACTAACAAGCACACAGGTGACCACAGACAACGACGAAGAGCGATGAAGGAAGGCCAGGGCAGGAAGATACGAGAGAGAGAGAGCGCGATAAGACCGCGCGGCGAGTGTGAAATCCAGGTCCTTCCCGATCAATTCCAGAACTCGACACTCAACGTCGACGTTCTCCGCATCGCGCCCCGAAAATCACGACGACCGACGCGTGTCGGCAGCGGAGATTGGAGGACGTGGCACGGGCCCAAAATTAGGGCCCGCGACCCAGGCGGCAGATATCGCTGGTGAAAAATCTAATATTAGACCAACGCGCGTTTCTAGTCGATACTCCAGACGTCCACCACCACGACCATCACAACTACTACTACCACTATCGCCGCCGCCGCCGTCGTCGTTAGTGACGACACATACGTGCATGTGCACGCGCAAGAAGCCACCGCCGAGGAGGAAGAGGCCGGAAAGGTGCAAAGGGAAAGATAAACGCCTCACCTTTCCACGAGCCTTTCCTCGGGAAGAGATCCTCAGGCGCGAGAAGCCTCACAGGACGACGTCGTGATGCGTTAATCGGACTTTCGGCAAAGGCTGCGCCGTGAGTAACATCGCCTCCACCGCGCCACGGTGATGCGTACTAACATTCCCTGCACCGAGCCGCGGTACCGTCCAGCCGCGCACACGCCGTACGGACATTATGCCGCAAAGATCACCAACTATGGAAGTGGTGGGAAACAGGACTATCGGCCGTCGAGCCGCGTGCGAGAGCGGCGTGGCGCTATCTGGAGCAACGCGGCAATACTCGGTGATGAAGCGTCGCGCGATAAAGCGAGTACCCGCTAAGTGCACGACGTAGCGGCCGGACGAAGAGATGCACGGAGGAGAGCATCAACGAGACGGCTCTCGAGGAAAGTGCGCGTTGATAATGTCTCACTTGGGCTACATTCCAAAACGCTCTCGAGAAAAATTTTATCCGGTAGAATGATAGAAAAGGAACCAATCGCCTGTCGAGTTTTGAAAAGTACGAATAATGATGTCTTGATTTTTGGATCAATCTCGAGGAGTGTTAGTTCTACGTTAAGTCAGTACCTCCCATTCTTAATCGCAATTTTGTGCTAAACCGCTGAGCACAAAAATCGGGAATATACTAGTATAATTAGCTTACAAAAGGCGCTTAATTCCTATGTAAGTGCACAGGAGAAAAATATTAAATTCAAGTAAATAATTACTCCAATACTTTTTTAAGATAAGATTGTTAGCTGAATTATAATTGTTAAAACTCAAGATATATATAAGATTGGAAGAACTCATGTTGGCTCCGGGAACCTCGCGGTTACTTTCCGGAGATATCAAATTGCACGAAGTAATTCACACAGTAATTTTTTATACGCGCGAGCACTCGGAGAAATTCATCAATGATTAGTGGTCGATTCGGAGCCGAACCAGCGCTATGCAATCTCTAACATTCACATAATGTGGGCGATGAATCGACGTGGTGAAATAAGTAAATTGCTTGGCAACACCAGCGACTGATTCGCGCGCAATCACGACGCGGAGGAACGCATGGCGAGATAGAGTTATCGTGTTATCGCTATAAATATTTTGTTGTACAGGAAACATAATTCCACTGGTGTGTTTTTGTTGCCTAGAGACCAAACGAAAACTCGGTTGCGGGAACAGAAAGATTCTTGCAAGAGGTTTTTACTGTAGTTTTGAGGGCTCGGAAAAAACAGTTTTTTTCCCATTTTCTCGCCGATTTCTTCGATTTCCGCCTCAAGGGTAGAAAAATTCATATATCGATTGATACATGTCACATTAATTTTTTCCATAAACAAGATAATAAGTCGAAAAATTTCGCGGAAAAATAATTTTCTCTGAGCTTTCGAAACTATCTAAGTACTTTTTACTAATCTCTAACTAAGTTTTTACTCAGGCAATTGTTCTCGGTGGTCTCGCCGAGTTTTCATCTGATCTCTACTCAGGGGACTACAGGAACTGAGTCTTTTTTTCCCGTGTGAACTCGCGCATCTGGTCGAAAACGTTCAGCCTGATTCAATCTCGCACGATATGATGCCATAAAGAAAATTATCATGCTTTATGCGAATCGCGTAGCAAATTGTAAGACCTCACATCCGCTTGGCAAACACATTGGATTTCACTCCACGCGCGTGACGCACCGTGCAGTCACGCGAGAAACAATAGTCAAAATCTTCTGCTTATATATCTCATTGCAGTTACATTTCGGTTAATCAATCTCCCATCGTGCCCGAAACGAATTCTAGCTGAACGAGGTGATAAGATCGCATTTCAGCTGATTCGCATAAACAATAGTTAGAAGTCATGCGCACATAGCGAAGGAAAGCAAAATGAAATTTATTTGAATTACAGATCACAATTATCCCCTGATTATTTCTGGAGAAAGCGCTCGCGAATTCGGAGTCGCGTGTTTTCTTGGTACCGCGCGGAGAAAAACATTTTTCGGTGATCCAGCGCTGAAACGCAAGCAGAATCCGATCGGCGCGGCCAAATCCGCGTTCCTCGTGCGCGTCAAAGGAATACTCCCCGCATGGCGGGAAGCGAAACTTATTTTTGTTTCAAGGTACTCCTGGAGATACGGAGTTTATTTATAGGAATACATTCTTCGCGGCCCGACTGTCAGACGCAAAAACAGAGAGGGAAGCGCGAGAAGAAGGATGAGAGGAGGAGGCGCGGGCGATAAGAAGTGCGACGACGACGACGCTACCGGCTGCCGCTTTTAATTAATCTCTTGCGCAGTCGTACTAATTAATTTCGCCGGGAGCAAACGTGACAAGTGTCGTCGTTCGCGAACACGCCGTTCTCGCCGTGCAAACCTCGTCGTCGTCGCGTACGAGATCCTCTGAATTGCGCACAATGCAAGACGTACGGAGAGCAATGCTGAAACGATGAAAGATTCGATAATTCGTGAATGAGTACCTTTCGCCGAGGGAGATGATTCTGCGTCGAATTGTGGAGGGTTGCGGTGATCTCTTTCAGCACGACCCTCGTGCCTTCGCGAATAGATCCGCCGACGCCTCTCGGGCTCGACATTTCGTTGATAATTCTCTGCTTCCTATCGAAGAAACGCCGAAAATTCGTCCGCCTCGGTCTCCTAACGGGAAATATCGCAGATTTATGCAATTTCTCTTTTCGACGAGAAAAAATCGGAGAATATTCATATACAAATAAGACGCGACGTCCGAATATTTCACGTTTCGTGCTGCCGTTAAATTGGCCGCGAATATCCCGAAATGTGTTCTTTTCACACGAGAAAAGCTGGACGTTTATTCTCGCTCGTGTTACTCACACGAAGTTGCCGTCTCGGGCGAAACATCGGCGGGTTTTTGCCGTAGGATCGAGTTTACTATCGAGCGGAATTTCACGAGAATTTTACGATAACAGATTTGCTCGTTCCAGCTGCTTCCACGCCTCGTTATTTCTCCCTCGATCGCTCAACTCAAGTACGCATCCGTTTCATGCGCCGTATCCAAAAATTCCAACTGAAACAAACCGCATCCAAAATCGCCGCGGAATGACGCTGACTTTCCTCGAAATCCGATTTTAGATCGTAACCGACGATTAATTATAATTCCCAACAGCAGTGTCCACGTGATTTATCCCCCAACAATACCGTTAATTAATATTTTTTATATAAATAATATTTACTTATTTACTTAATATTGATAACGCTGTGTATATCAGTAAGATAGAACGGTTGATACTTGACGGAGAGCGACCTTCACAATCGATACAAACAAGAAAGAGAGAATTCCCTCTCTCGTTTCGACAACAAATTGTCGTCCCATCATCCACGCTGGCTCGACTCTGTCAGTCGAGTTAATCGTCGATTAGATTAGTCGGAATCTGACGAAAGTCACCCTGACTCGTCTACTCCCTTCCCCTCCCCCCCGC